ATCTTTTGGAAGAACTGATGTAATTGAAATGTCCATATTCATATTATCTAAGGCAATTTACACACCCAATGTGATCTAATTCAAAATCCTAAGGACATCCTCAATGTCTAGAGAACATAATTCTAAAATTCATATGGAACCACAGAAGCCCTCAAATAGCTAAAGAATTTTATATACACACATACAAGTTGGGGACTGTCATTGTGGCATAGCATATTAAACTGTTACCCGCAGTGACAAAATTTCGAAAGAGCACTGTGCTCCCTGATAATGACCTGGAAAAGCAGCAGTGGATGGTCTATGTGCCCACGTGGGATATCTGGAAAACGTGGATCCTGGCTTTGTCTGCTGTGGTCATCAGCGGAGTAATCAGCAAAGGGAACTTCGTCTCTCTTAAAAATAAAGAAATATTAAAAAAAACCTAGCAGCATCATATATGTGATTTCAAGACATAAGATACAATCAAAACAGAGTACAGTTGCCACGAAATAGACATGTAAACCTATGGAACTGAAACAGAAGCTACAGAAAGTGATCCACACTTCTACAACCAACTAATTTTCAACAAATGAGCTAAAACCACTCCCTGGAGAATAGAAAAGCTCTTAAAAATGGTGCTAAGAAAATCGGGTCTCCACACGCCCCCTTCCTTATACCTATGCAAATATCAACTCACAATAGAATAAGTAGCTAAATCTATGATCTGATGACATCAAATGAACAGAGGAAAACATTGGGAGAGCATGAAAAGGCACCGGCACAAACGCTTCTTGAATATGACCGCAGAAGCACAGGCAATAAAAAATGAAAAGTTATGTTGTTGCAAAAAATTAAAGGAAAAGAGATGAAGGAAAGCTGGGTTGTTGGGGGAGAGAGTGAGATAAGAATGGTTATATTTCTAGAGTCATAAGAACCAAGAAAGCATTGTCATTAGAAGACATTTGGAAATTGTTTGATGTATCTTAATACCTCTGTACTCTGCTTTTACTTACAGCAGCTGCGTTTTGTTAGGAATGATTCATAAGGTTGCCTTGAAATGAAGGGTTTTTTTTTTTAATGTCTTAAACCAAAACCCCAAATTGAATTTATTCAGAGATTTGTGTATTCCCTCTATTACAACGAACAGCTCAAGCACAAGCACTGGTTACTATCAGCATACATATGATATAACCTGCAGCTAGGATTTCAACAAGTACATGTAATGTTGGAATCACTGCTTTCCTTTTGCAGATAGCTTAGGCCAAATCTACATTCCCTGTCATTGGCTGCCATTGTGATTATCTTCTCACAGTATCAAATTTTTGGTCACTTGAGAAAGAGCATCAGATGAACTCACCCACAGCATCACTCACAGTGCACAATTTCCAAGTTAACATGAGCTCCAAAATAATTGGTTCTAGAAACAGAAATGACAAGTTAACCAAAACTTTTTCTTCATGTAATTTTATAGAAAAAAAGATTTTGTTAGCATAATCACATTTTTAAAAGGTACTCAGTAAGAGAGTAGGAACTTCTTGAGATAATAAAATATTACATCGATGTGTTATATAATACAAACTTACTAACTTTTATTAAATATTATACAGTGTCCTAATATATACTTGTTGGCATGGAGCAATATTTAAAAACGTACTTTGAAACATCAAAATTAAAGTGAACTTCCCCAGTTTCTCTTCTCATAAAGTAAAGGCAAAGACACATTTACGAAAATGCTCAAAGAAAACAACATGTTCTCAGCTATTAAGTACAATGATTAAAAATAATACACAAAACAATAAAAATAAACGAAAATCTATTGAGATTACTAATTGAATCTATGTATTTAATAAACTGATGAGAGCAGAATTAAAAACCTAATCATAATCAGTCAATACGGCCATTACTTGCTAATTGAGATCAGAAAAAAATGTGCATTAAAATCAAAGCTAATCACTATTTTCCCACTGGCCCCTTTCTTCCCTCACCAGTTCTGATTTTCTGGTGTTAATTTTTCTATCACGTTATATGGACAGAGTATCTAGTAGAAGAAGACAGACTTTAATTCCTTTATTTCTGAAGACAAAATTAATTGCTTGATTCTTCTTTCAGTACATTTTTGAAAGATATTATTACCAGTCCCTAGCTACCTGTGATATATTGCCAAGACAAATATCTCATAGGAGCTATTTTATTTGGAGTCTTCTAGGATAAAAGAGACATGATAGAAAATTAATTAGAAAAATTGTTTCCTGATTCCCAGGAACCATCACTGGGAATTGAACACTCCACTCTGTCTATATGACTGATGGCTTTGTCTTGAATGAGCAAAACACCTATAAACTCCAAAGGAGGGAGGGAAAATTAAATCTATTTCTGAACACGTTGTTCTAGCCTCAACTTTAAATTTATTGAACATTTTGTTAGTCTTCCTGTTCATACTGTTCATTCATTACTGTTTTTCTTCCCAATTCAGTGACACAATGTGGAACACAGGTCATTTCTAATTTCTCTAATCAAATAGTTCATCTCTGTAACAGAAGATTATTTGTGATCTCTACAACAGAAAATTATTTGTGATCCATAACAACAATCTAATTCTCCCATCTTTTTTTTGTTTTTTTATTTCCTGGACTTTCCCCCTTAGGCAATCTCCAGAAACTTTCTAAACACCATTTTAGGTAGTTTTATACTGTTTTCATATTTCTCCAGGAATTTTTAATGATCTTATCACATCTCAGACATTTCTAATTTTGTCATCTGAAGCAAAGATCTTCTGGGGAAATAAAAGCTCCTTTCTCTACTTTTTGGGAGCAAATGATACGAAAACACCAGGGGTCAGCTGTGAGAAGCTAAAACACTTTGGGGAATGTAGAAAGAAAACTTCATAGGAATTTTAAGATAGCAAGAAACTTAAATCCCAGATCTCTTCAAGCGGGGCAAAATACATCTAAAATCTCTATGAAACAACAGCAAACAACACATGGTCAAGTGGCAGACGAAATACAAGCTGAGTCAAAGGACTCTGATTGGGTCGTGCAGGAAGACCACCCAGACGACACAGCAAGAAGGTAGGTACACATCTTTAATGCAAAACTAAACACAACTGAGTTACCACAGTGCACTGCCATTCAGCTTTGCTCGACTCTTACAGTGGAGAGAAGTTTCAATATGCAAGATACATTTCCTAGCAATATTCCTTTATTGAACTGAATCAATAACTCCAATAACTGGAATTTAAATAGTATGCATCAATCTTATGATCCTAAATGTATTATTCGAATTAAGTGAACAATCATACTCTAAAGATACAAATGAACTGAAGTTATAATTGCTAAATTTTTCTGAAACTCAGTTTCTTTCGTACTTACCGAATAACAAAGGCTTAGATGTATTTTCCCACTCCTACTGGAAACACTGTGAGAAAACTGTCTTTATTCAGAAAGAAAATACATAGTTATAAATACCCCAGACTCAATATTTTTAGATTTTCATTTCTTAAAAAAAACATCATTTCTCATGAGCAAATCATAAGTAGAATTTGCATGCAGATTATATTTTATAGTCTTCTGCTCAATATAAATGTTGTCGGCTAGAGAATACATGCCAGAGAAGAAAGACACAGTCCTTGTTTGTACTGGTTGTAACTCAGAACTAAGTAACTACTTTATATAACTAGACCTCCTAATAACTGAGACCTTAGCCTGATGTTGTGTGCTTGTACCACCACTGACTAGTTTTGGAATCTTGGTCAAATCACTCAGTTTGTAAGCCTTATGTTCCTCAGCTGGAAAGTAAATAGATTTAGTTCAAGGGCAACCAGGTATTTCTGGATATTACAATGTCAATTTTTAAGATGCTTCCAAAGGATTACCTTTGTTGAATTTCATAAACATGTACAGTAAAAGACATGGAGACTGTGCTTTGTGGAAGATGAAATCATAAAGAATGCCAAGAGGCAAAAATCAATCTCCTGAATTCTGGTTCAGTGCTAAGTTTGTACATGATGCAAGACACGTGAGCATCTGACAATTGGAGACATGCTTATTGCTTACTAATTTAGTCATACTGGGCAAGTTATTTCACAATTTTGAACTTCAGTTTGCTTACGTTTAAAGATGGGACAAGCCCATTCACCCATAGAGTGCTTGGAACAGAGTCATCATAACTAATTTGAACCAACAATAAAGAAAACAAGCAATAAACAATCATGTGGTTGTATAGCAATTTTAACAAGGCCGCTGGCTTCTTGGTTATTTTTGCACCATTGCTACAACTGACACCTGAAATTGGAACACACGTATTATCTCAGCAAAATATAATTGTTCCTTCATTAGGACCCAAAGGAAACAACCAGTCTTTTAAATATGATCATTTTTTGTCAAATAACATATGGAGGCCAGACATTAACAAATATACCATCTTTAGAACAGTTTTCGGGTATTCTTCCATAGCTCAACAATCAAGGAAAATAATATAAAGCCTTCTATATTTCTCCTGAATATAGTCAATCTGGTAATAGATATCATTTTACTATTATAACTATAGAAAATGGATTATTACTGATTATACACTAAAAAGGGTATATGCATTTCATATTCAACTTTCACTCATTTTAGCCTTCATCTTACCTCTGTTAAAATACCAGACAGGGACCAGTATTGCCGCAAAGCAGGCAAAGCTAGCATCTGTGCTGCAGACATCCCATATGGACACTGGTTCGAGTTCTGGATCCTCCGCTTCCAATCCAGCTCCCTGCCGATGACCTGGAAAGGCCGCAGAAGATGGCTCAAGTGTTTGGGCTCCCGGCTGCTCATGAAGACCAGGGTGAAGGCCCCGCTTTCTGCTTGCTCCTGCCTTGGTCTTTGGCAGCCATACGGCAAGTTCAGCAGCAGTGGATGATCCTTCTCTGTAGCTGACTTTCAAATAAATAAGTGAATAAATAAATCTTTTCAAAAAAAAACTCCCAGAGACTTAAGCGCTATTTCTGTAGATTAACCAAGAGCTTACACAACACATTTCTTATCAATGCTTTATTGTTGAAAACAAAATTGAAATTCTCTGGCACATAAAACAATTATTTCTACAAAAGGAAAGCCTACAAATCTTGATAATTTATACAAATAACAGCTTCTCAAAAAATAAAATTTTAATTTAGTAAACTTGTCTTGTGCTCTATATTTTTAGCACTGTCTGCAATAACCCACCATAAATCCCTGAGCGGAGACATTTTTGATCATGTTCAAATGCCCTCCCAACAACCACCCCCCTCCCCGTGTTGGTCAGTTACTAAGTCCAGCCCTGTATTGAAGTGTCAGGGATGTTAGATATTAAAGATCCATGCATTTGATGACACAGGTCCAATCATTAATGCTACTTGGGAACTGAGTCAACATGAAGTGCCTCTACTGTGCATTCAGTGAACCTACTAAGAACCAAGTGCTGGAAAGGAACAATAACAACAGAAAGACACAAAATGTGAAGACTAGGGGGTCATTATACATCAATAACTATTTAAATAAATAAAAATGTTAGACATTGAATTTATATTTATAGCCTTATATTAAGTTCCATCCTCTTGGCATTGTTTATTTCTTTCTTTGTTTTTGCTTTTTGCAATTGCCAATGTACCAGAGGATGAAAAACATACACTTCAACCCACTGTTTTGGTTTGACCATGGGTTTGTTAAATGTTAAATATTCTGAAAACACAATGATTGAGCCATAAGTTAACTTCTGGCCCTACAATGAAAGGTTGTAAAAGAAAATACATATTATTGAAGGGGCTCCTTATTAACATCATCCAAAAATCTCTTACTACATTTGCCCTTTTCACAAAATTCTATTGCCATAGAAACACTACTTTAAATTCTTTATCCCTCTGTATTCAGATATATAACAAAACCCATAAAATATGGAGAAAACATAGTATGATGTGTTTGCATGTCCAGCTTCCTTTTAATGGAACCACTAATAACATACATATGGAGTGTGACCAGGTAGAGAAAAGCTCAATTTCAGTTTTAAAAAACTGGCTTAATTTATCAAATTTTCCGTTACTCTGCTATGGTAGGTAATAAATAAATAAATATGCAAGGTACAGTATAGTTATTTTCTCTATAACGAAGTTGATAATGGACTGTTTTATGAAGTTAATTTTTAGTAGCAAAGTTTGACTGCAAGCCAAAATGTGTTCAGCAAATGTTTTTCTCTACTTCATTTATACGATTTTACTCATGAAGTGATGAGCGAAGTGGTTACCAACAGGTCATGAAATAAAACACCAAATCTGCTAGTGAAAAATAGTTATCAACTAAGAGAGGCCATTGGCACAAGACGTGGAAACATGTAGCAAGCTAATGCTATCCTCTATTGCAGTTTAAAGCAGCACGTGTTTGATGCCTTTTGGGAAGAGCAGAATAAGATAAAAATCATTCCTTGAAAATTTAACAGCATTATTGTTTCGATACCTATGAGAAAGCGATTATGATTTCATACCTACTCTTCCAAACACAAACTGGCAACTGTCATCATACGCTCCTTCAGATAGACTTAATTTTTTAACCAGCAGCATCGGGGAGGCACAAATTAGCCCTCTCTTCTGCTTAATAGCTGTTGGTTATAGAAACTAGAACACTTTTAAATATCCCTTTCCTTTACCCTCCTCAACAAACACACACTAGCCAGGAACACTCATTTTAAAAGGTTATTTCAAAACAGTTAATACAGTGAATTCTGCTGGAAATGTAGAGGAACACACTGACAATATTAAAGAATGCCTGCCTGACACACAGAAGGCCTCTCCAGCCGCGCCCAGCTCCACTGGCCACTCCTCTCCAAGTGCTGCTCAGCAAGTGATGCTCCAAAGACGAAAGGCTGTGACACCTAAAACATAAGACACTGTGTGTACTAACTGAGGAACAACTGCAGATTCTCGCTAGCTTGACACAATGCTAAATACCACCACCACCAACAACAAAAAATGCTTTCTAGGCTTCAGAAAATGACAAGCAGGCTGTCCTAAAGGGTAAGCCAGCAGCATTAGGACAACCTAGGAAAGCCAGTGGCTCCCTGCACCTCCCACTATGCTTTAATCACTCCCTGTTAACACTCAATCTTTCATAGTTTACCGTGGCTGAACACACACTCCGACTTCCTCTCACAGTGTTTAAGGAATAATATAATTTTGAAATTAGCTTTCAAAAATGAACAAGGTCTGTATTTTCGGCACCCTCCCCTTTTACAAATTCCAAAAGATCCCTGTTTTAAGTGCTCTGGTTTACAGTCTCTGGGTAGCAAATCCATTCTCCAGGAGGTTTCCCATGTTCCCCTTTTTGGTGTTAGTGGCCATGTCAACAGCAAAGTGGATCTCCCAGGAGCAGCAGCGACTTCAACGACTCCTGCCCTGAAGTCCGAAACCAGCTCTTGTCACAGCACTGCTGGGAAGTGTTGTCCAGTAATAAAGTCCACTCTGTCAAAGTGAGGACGAGGTTCCGTGTCATGTCTCAGAAGTCTTTAAGCCTTGCTTTTCCATGATGTTCCACAGTTTCCGCAGATTGGACTGCGTGATCACGTCATCTGGCTTGAGCTGCAGGGCGCGCAGGTAGTTGGCCTCTGCCTTCTGGAGCTTGCCATTAAGGTGCAGAATGGCCCCTAGGTTCATCAATGCAGCTGGATACTGCAACATAAGACAGGAAGGAAAACAGTTAAGGGGTCATCTCAAGCTTTCTCTCATGGAAGACAAAAATCGTCACTCACTAATGTAAATGATTCCTTCTGTCTAGCAGAAATCTGTGGAAGCAATTTAGCAATTTCTGTACATGAAGATAACTAGGTAGTTAAAAATTCAAACAGCTGCCATTACTTGTGTTTTAAATAGCATTTGCGGCTTACAGAAATTATTTTTTTCTCTAAGAAAACAGGTAAAACATGAAGACCAAGTAATCTGGTTAGATTTTGCTGTTCAAGCAGCAGCTTAATTTCAAATCAAAAGATTTTTTTTTTCTAATCAGTTAAAAGAAGTAAAAAAAAAAAGTTAAGCATAAAATAGAAGTGCATTTTCTGTTTTCTCATAAAATACTCTAGATTTTTTTTTATGCAAAAACAAAACTAAAACATTTCATTGATGTTTTCAGGGTTAGAAACCTGAACAAAATTCAAAAGCAAGCACTTCCATCATGGTCACACCTAAATTACGTGATTAATCACAGATGAGTTTTAATTTTTAAAAGCTAGATAGTTTTAAGTTCTAACAGTGTTTATTACCAAGTCAACATAGAAAACTGTCAGAATGGAGAAAATACAGTACAGAGAAATGTAACAATTTTAAGTTTTACATTATTTGTTAAAAACACTTCAGCCATTATAGGTTTTTCATTAATGCTGCAATATGAATCTATTTTATGTAAAAGTTTTAAAATATTGAAAAATAGCTTAAAAAACTGATCCTGTAACATTAGTTTAATACAAGGGTTTCCATCTCATAGCTCCTAGACATTGGCTAACAACACTGAAACGCATTTCTCAGAGAAAAAAAAAAATACTTCTCTACCTATCAACGAAGCCTGTTCTGCTTTTGTCTTGTCCCTGAAATTCTCTGGCTCAAACACAGCAGCTAATATTTTGGCAGTTATATAAACACATATTTCAACTATCAGATAGAATGAAGTGTTTATGCTGTGCTTAGATTTTCATTTTGCAGATAGGGTCAGCCATTAATTGTCCAACTCTGTGTGACAGCTTAAAATAATTAACTATTATTTTTTAAGATTTACTCTTCACAGTGTAAACATTTTTTCAGCTGAATTCATGTGACTTCACTCTTTACTGTAAAAACGATCATTTCTGTACCCAAAACAATGCTAGGGGTGAACATGGAAATAGCTCAGAGTAAACTGACTAGAGGAGAAAAGGATCTTATTTGGATTTTAAGGGATCTGGGTTTCTTTCTCAACCACTGTGACCTTGGTTAGGCCCCTAAGCTATCTGTGCTCCAATTCTTTCATTGTGAAATACTGAAATAACCTTAACTTTTCTTCATGCTCATGGGAAGATATGAGAAAAATAAACAAATACATGCTGCAACGCACAGGTTCAAAGCAGACACTCTACAAATGTCAAAGTCACTTTTCCTAGTTTCATTTTGCTTGGGGTCAAACACATGCTGCTTTCTAATCTATATGATGCCAAACCTTTATAATTTGGATTTCAGGGGCTATATCAAATGTGCGTGTATATAGCAAAATTATCATAAATCTTTCATAACTGGTCATTATTTCAAATCCTTCTTCATTCTCTTTTCTTTGCCAAAAACAATTTTATAAATATAAGCAATTCCTGACCTTCAAAACTTTTTATGGTCCGGATGACTCCAAACTTATCAAGAAAAATACAGATGGTCAGCTTCTAACTTTAAACCCCAATCTAAATAAACACAGTTCTAAATTACATGTGCAGTGAAGAACTCCACAATGGGAATGAAAATACCACCACCTACTCCGTCTTCCTGAAAGGACCTTGTTATCACACCACAATTATAATCAAAGGCCCCTTGATGCCCAGGCACATTTCTGAATTATGTCTGCCAACAGAGCCTTGCATGACTATCAATAAATAGCTACGTAAGTGATGATGAAGTGTGTTCAAGGCCTGAAGTATGAGACATGTAGATAAAATGCTTGGACTTCCGGCTATCCTGAGTGGCAAGTAAGGTAAAAGGGAGGGACAACCAACCATTGGAGACCACTCCTCACTAACCAGAAATAGAGAGCAGGCCCAGTGTTGAGGCTGAGACAAACCAGATGGCTCTATGGGGGGTCAGTCATTTCTTGGGGCGCTTTAGCACAAACGTGCTAAACCTTCAGTGTTTGTATCCATAACTGCAAGTCAAAGGAATTATAAAACACTCTCACAGGCTATTGGACTCAAATTGCCCAGGTTCAAATGGCAGTTCTACTATAGGAACGGAGTAAAGTTAGGAGAGGGTTTAGATCTGTTTCTCCAACGGATGGGATGGTAGGTGTATCTCCCTCACGGTGCTGCTGTAGATTACATGAGAATACAATCATCATTGTCTTTTTTCCCTCCGTGTTCATTCAACATCAAGGAATTTTCTTGTTAGCGTGTCTAAACAGCTGCTAATTCCAAAAGCAAAGGAACAAGCCCCGTCTTCACTAGCATCTTTTACCTTTTTAAGGCTAAACCTGTAAAAAAAAAAAAAATGGGTAGCAAAGCATATCGTGCTGCATAAATAGGCTTTTGCACTGTATTACTAAATTGTAGCTTGGGGCTCTTCTATCCTTGGAACACTTTGAAGTCACCTACCTACCATGATATAAAGAAAAATAGTATTTTATCATTATTATTACAAAGCACAATTCATATAAGTTAAATCTCTTCTGGAAGGACTACGAAATGCTAATTATAATACTGTTTCTGCAACAACTTTAATTTTGTATCAGGAATGCTAATGTTCCTCACTAAAGAAAGCTTTATAAGTTGCTAATATGAACTTGATATGAGAAAACAGATCTCAAGGAAGATCATATATGCCCCTTCACCACCTTCTCTAAAGATTAAAAATACATGAAAGCTAAAAATATGTAGATTTATGAACATCATTCAATATTTTAAGCTGTTACACATTTCAGTTGCAACATCTTGGTTTGAATTTAAATATCTATGTTAAAATTTTCTATCTGACCAGCTTACAAATATGCATTAGATAATGTCTAAAGTATTACCATAACTTTTTAGTTGACTGAATAGAAATGAATGACATTTACATGCAGGCATACTAAACAATGAGATAAGAGAATCATGACTCTAGCTATTTGCTTGGAAAGTATGGAGCTATTTTGACTGAATTCCATGTGTGAAGAAATTTATGAAAGAAAGACTTCTTTCTTCTCACAGGATTTTTTTTTTCTACTCAAAGACAGAAGCTTAAGTTTTTTAATCTGGTCACATCTGCCTTGCAAAGTTGTGGCTTGGGCAGCATGGCGGCTGCATGATGTCTTTGAGACAAACTGTGGAAATTGCTTGTGGGAGTGGTATCAGCATGCCTGGGAAGCTTAAGAAAAATGCATAAAGCTCGCTTACTGAATGAAAATGTGTTGTATGCTCCTTAACAGGGAGAAGCACTGATGTGGAGGTCACCTTCAGATGGAAGAATATATCATTTACAGTTGGTGATGAGATTTCCTGTAAGAAGTTATAACATGCAGACTAAAACGTCGTATTAAATGTTTATTTTCTTGTAAAGGAGTGTTTTCTTGGACAATTATTTAAGTGCATAAATATTTAAATGAAGTGCTATTTAGTGAAGTCATGAAAGGCTAAATGAGAACAGAAGCAAAGGGTATGGAAAGCTTTCTGATAACCAAATAACAGCACATAGAAGTTCCTAAGCAGACAGAAAGAATGGACAGCCATGTATCAAGAATTTCAGAAGGTGGCTGATTACAGATTGATGCTCTTTCTTTCCAAAAGTTATAACTGGGAAAGATACCTAACCAAACAGCTAATGTCTTCCCTCTCACACATTATTTTTTTATTAAAGATGGTTGATGGAATTTTAAGCTTGTGGCTAAGACAGAGAGCAGCCTGCAGTGCAGTAACATGGAACTCTTGGCTCTGCATCACAAATGATGCTGCCTCCTACTTCTCAGACTAGAAGACATTTTTCTTGGACAGTCGCTTTCCCTGAAAATCACACTGAAGTAGCGCAAGTGGTATCTTCGCCTAGTCTCTAGACAATTTCACTTTTACTGTAATCTCAGTATAATTTTAGCTTACTTCTCCCATGCTGGAGAATGTATGCAAAGTTAAAATAAATATGTACATTGGATGAGGGGAGAAAAAACTCAAGACCATCAAAATCTGATTTTAATCTAAGCTCCTTAATATTGCCAAAGAACCCAACCAAACTCACTTCTTATCCTTAGTCTTAGGAAGAAACATAGGTAGGAGAAAAGACAAAATGGGGGTTAGGATTGGGAATTAGTCTTTCTATCAAAACAAAATGAAAAAAAGAAAAAACTTTATACACAGAACTTGGGTAAGACCCAGAGAAAGAGGACTTGAAGTTGTTCTAGTTACGTGGGAATTAGGTTCCCAGCTTCTCAAGTTCCCTGGGGCCAATACTTCCTCAAGGATAACTAAGAGACAAGAAGAAATATGAGAAAGGTGAAGATGGTGACAACACATCAATCTATTTAATTTTAAAACTTTTTCTTTTCATTGAAGGGTTGTATATTTAGCTTTACAAACTAACTGATTTTTACGAGAATGACTTAACTTAGTCCAACTTAGACTAATACAATATTCAAGTAATACAATACACATTTGGGGATGTTTTCATGACAACTACCTTTAAGTTTCCTTTGGAAAATAATCTGCGAACTTAAATGAGTTTACACTAAAAAGGTTTTAATGGATTCTCACTTTTTAATGGAGCTCACAAATAATTTAATGAAGGCTGCAAATTGCCATCCAACTGTATTCAACTGAAATTGCTTACTCAATTGAATTTACTGGAGCAGTGACCATGATGTTTAAAACTTAACAGTATAACTATATTAAGAAACATTATTTAAAAACAACTCTTTTGAATGATAATTTTGTCATTCTTATATATGGTAGATATTAAAAATAAGTCTTGAAATAAAGTTTTTAAGG